ACTCCACTGTCCAAAGCTGCGGGCGCAGCGCGGCGCGGAGTCCCCGCGACGCGCGCCGGTCGCCCCGGAAGGACCCCAGCGACGCGCGCGGGTCGTCCGCTGCGCGGAGCAAAGGGAGCTAGCTAGCTAGCTAGCTGGCTGGCTGATAACGGGCAAGGCTCTGACCGTTGGGCAGAGCGACGGCGGGCGAGCGAGGCGCAGGGAAGAACGCAGCACGGAGTTCCCGCGACGCGCGCTGGTCGCCCCGGGAGGGTCCCAGCGGCGCGCGCGGGTCGTCCGCGGCGCGAGGCCAAATACTTAGGTGGGCAGTCGAGAGAAGGCGCGGCTCGGGGGGGGGGGCGCTCCTCTGGTCAGGCCTCGCGGATACATTCGGTGAAGCCGAGTTCCCTGGCGAGGGCCGTCGCCTCCCTCCTGCACCGCTTCGTGCGCGCCGCAAGCTGCTCCAGCTGCTTCCGCAAGCCCTCCGGCGGCCCTGCCAGGAAGAATTCGATGCGTGGCGCCTGCATGAGCAGGAGGTCCTCGTGGCGCGTGGCGCGTGAGAGCAACGCGTAGAGCTGCAGCCACCAGTCGTCGTGCTCCTTCTTGCCGTTCCCGACCTCGTTGCGGCCGCAGTCCTGGATCTCGCCTGGGCGACGTCAGCCGAGGGAGCAGCGCGCCGGACAGCCGACGGCCCAGGGCGAGAGTCCACAGGACCGAGAGATGGTCCGGCTGCAGACCGCTCGCGCCCAGTAGGTTCGGTTGTAGACTGCCCAGGGGTGCCGTTCCCTCGCCCCGTCGCCTTCTCGCATGGTGCGCCACTGGCACGCCACCGTGGTGATAACCCTGCCGTGTGAGAGCGGGAAGCCCGTCTGGGTGATCTTGGAGTTGCGGAAGGTGCACGGCTCCGACGTGCGGGGCTCGATGAATGCCAGCGGGGTGGCATTGGCGCCTTTGGTGGAGCCTCCTATAGGGCCAGGAAGCGTGCGAGGGGTGTGCCGAATTTCGCGTGGGGGGCGCATGCGGGCGGTGGCACTGGGGCCTTCGGTGGAGCCCCCATATGGGGCCACGAAGTGTGCGGGGGGCGTGCCGAAATGGGCGTGGGGGACGCATGCGGGCGGTGACACTGGGGCCTTCGGTGGTGCTCCCCATGGGGCCACGAAACGTGTGAGGGGTGTGCCGACATGGGTGTGGGGGACGCATGCGGGCGGTGGCACTGGGGCCCTCGGTGGAGCTCCTTATGAAGCCACGAAACGTGTGAGGGGCGTGCCAACATGGGTGTGGGGGACGCATGCGGGCGGTGGCAGTGGGGCCTTCGGTGGAGCTCCCTATGGGGCCACGAAACGTGTGAGGGGTGTGCCAACATGGGTGTGGGGGACGCATGTTCCGGTGGCACTGGGGCCTTCGGTGGGACTCCGTATGAGGCCACGAAACGTTTGAGGGGTGTGTCGAACTGGGTGTGGGGGACGCATGCGGGCGGTGGCACTGGGACCTTCGGTGGAATTCCCCATGGGGCCACGAAGCGTGCAAAGGGTGTGCCGAAATGAGTGTGGGGGACGCATGCGGGCGGTGGCATTGGGGCCTTCGGTGAAGTGCCGAAATGTGTGTGTGTGCGTGTGTGTGAGGGGGGGGGGGTGCGCATGCGGGTGGTGGCATTGGGGTCTTCGGTGGAGCTCCCTTATTGGGCCACGAAGCGTGAGGGGTGTACCGACATGGGTGATGATGCTGGTGATGATGACGGTCGTGATGATGATGGCGATGATGTTGATGACGACGATTCTGATGATGATGATGATGATGGTGTTGTTGATGATGATGATGATGGCGCTGATGGTGATGATGTTGATGATGATGAGGATGTTGATGATGACGGGAGGAAGGAGGAAGGGGGAGGAGGAGGAGGAAGAGAGGACGAGAGGAACGCGGGGTGGCGTCTTTTCAAAACGAGGACCCAACACCACAGGATGGTTGGGAAAAAACCTTCAAGCTCCCCCCCCCCAGTGATCCGGGGGGGTCCCGGGGGGGGGTCCAAGGAACTCCCAGACCGGTCTCAATCTGGAGGCAACGCTGCGCCTCCTTGTTTTAGACCACTTGCGAACCCTCCGACCGTCAAGACGATGAGGTAAGGACCACTTTGGGTTCAGTGTTGGTTTTCTGGCGACTCCTCAAATCCAGGTCGGGGAATATGTTCGTGGCCGAGGACCGAGGAACGCCCTGGCCAGAATAGCCGACTCGTTCCCTATTCGGCCTTCCTTGTGTTAGCATGAGGACTGAATTCCGAATGTGGGATGATGATTAAGAAATGCCGGGGGTAGGGGGCTTGGCATCGTTCGGATGTGTTTTTCCCAACCATCCTGTGGTGTTGGGTCCTCGTTTTGAAGAGACGGCGCCCCGCGTTCCTCCTCCTCCTCCTCTCCTCTCCTCTCCTTCCTCCTCCTCTCTCCCCTCCTCCTTCCTCCCACCATCATCTTCACCTCTCACACGTTTCGTGGCCCCATACGGAGCTCCACCCAAGGTCCCAGTGGCGCAGCCCGCATGCGGTACGCGCCCAATTTTGGCACACCCCTCACACGCTTCGTGGCCCCATGGGGAGCTCCACCTATGGTCCCAGTGGCGCAGCCCGCATGCGGTACGCGCCCCATTTTGGCACACCCCTCACACGTTTCGTGGCCCCATAGGGAGCTCCACCTTAGGCCGCAGTGGCGCAGCCCGCATGCGGTACGAGCCAAATTTTGGCACACCTCTCACACGTTTCGTGGCCCCATACGGAGCTCCACCCAAGGTCCCAGTGGCGCAGCCCGCATGCGGTACGCGCCCAATTTTGGCACAGCCCTCACACGTTTTGTGGCCGCATAGGGAGCTCCACCCAAGGTCCTAGTGGCGCAGCCCGCATGCGGTACGCGCCCAATTTTGGCACACCCCTCACACGTTTCGTGGCCCCATGGGAGCTCCACCTATGGTCCCAGTGGCGCAGCCCGCATGCGGTACGCGCCCCATTTTGGCACACCCCTCACACGTTTCGTGGCCCCATAGGGAGCTCCACCTTAGGCCCCAGTGGCGCAGCCCGCATGCGGTACGCGCCCAATTTTGGCACACCCCTCGCACGTTTCGTGGCCCCATAGGGAGCTCCACCTATGGTCCCGGTGGCGCAGCCCGCATGCGGTACGCGCCCAATTTTGGCACACCCCTCACACGTTTCGTGGCCCCATAGGGAGCTCCAATGTAGGCTCCAGTGGCGCAGCCCGCATGCGGTACGCGCCCAATTTTGGCACACCCCTCACACAATTCGTGGCCCCATAGGGAGCTCCAACGTAGGCTCCAGTGGCGCAGCCCGCATGCGGTACGCGCCCCATTTTGGCACACCCCTCACACGTTTCGTGGCCCCATAGGGAGCTCCACCTTAGGCCCCAGTGGCGCAGCCCGCATGCGGTACGCGCCCAATTTTGGCACAGCCCTCACACGCTTCGTGGCCCCATAGGGAGCTCCACCCAAGATCCTAGTGGCGCAGCCCGCATGCGGTACGCGCCCAATTTTGGCACACCCCTCACACAATTCGTGGCCCCATAGGGAGCGCGGGCGAAGATGGTACTCACAATTGCGGTATTCACAACTGCATATGGTTGGGTCCTTTGTCAGACTAATTTGTTTTCTTTTTCCGGCGAGGACCATCGAGGAGTATCTTGGATCATCGATCAACAAGAAGCACACAACAACAGCAACAACAACAATAACAATAACCTTAACAATAACAACAACACAAAACACGAACATCGCACGGAAATTGGACGTCCGAGTGATGGCAAGTATTCGCTGTTCCTTACTGCAGCGCGAGGACCAGACTCGTAACGTGGGATGACGATTGAGAAAGGCCGTGGGGGCGGGGGGGGCGTCACGCAGCGGCGCCTTGGGCGATAATTCATGGTTTCGGTTCTGGGTTTGCTCGTGGGCGTCATCGTCGTCATTGAGATGATCTACCGTCATTCCTTTTCCAAAATGTTCCCCAGCGGCAACCAACTACCTATTGAATCGTTCCCCCAATTTGCTTCGAACTCGCCACCCTACATTACGGGTCCAGTCGATGTTGCGGCATCGGACCCCCCCTTGGGTTTCAGTTGGCTGCAGACAGTATCCAAGTTCTGAGCCCCAGCCGGTTCTTTGAAATCCGACTTGCATGGGGTAGGGTTCATTTGTGATTGCTTTTCTTGTGCTCCAAGCTGCTCAATGGACAGGGGGATGTTGGATCGCGTGTGGGGGAGAGGGGGGGTCCTGCACGCGGCGTGGGTGGTATCGGCTCGGGGGGGGTCGGCCTGCGTGGGGCGGGGGCCAGGAGAGGTTGCTAGACACGAGCGCACGGGGGGGTGAAGGGTAAGAGTCATGCGAACGACGTGGGGTGCACTCTGTCCTCCTCCCTGTGCTCCCCCGTTTCCCTATCCGCCCCTCCCCCACCCCGAGGCCCCCGACGTGGTGATTTCCCACGGCGTGGACCCCCAGATTTCTCGACATCTTCCTTCACGGCCGGCTTTTCATCCCGAGGCGGTCCTGTTTGGCGGTTTTGGGGCCTGGCGAGGGCCCTTGGAAACCAGATCGTCCAGTAGCAAGTCATCGAAGTCTGGTGTGTCCTCGAAATTACGTCTTTAGAGTGCACTGGCGTGCGCGAGCGTCTGGTAAACGAGGAGAAATCGCCGATCTAGGGTAGATCAGAATCGATTTAGCGTCGACTAGCCTCGATGGGAGGCTCCACGAAGGATCGGCGGCACGGCCACGGGGTACCCACTCACGGGTGCTTCGGCAGCGAGCATGCAGGCGGAAGGAGGGCGGCGGGACCAAAGTTGGCGCGGGATGGCGCAGAGCATCATTTTTTTGCATCGGCCAGAGGCCAGCGGCTACTGAGCACCCGCCAAGGGGGGGAGGGGGGGCGCTTGCCGAAGACGAATACGCAAACATGTCCGCCGTGCCTTCCTTTTCCGAGATGCGAGGCGGCGTGTGGGTCCGCCACCCTCTCTGGGAGCTCCCGTCGAGCGCAGGGGGCATCTCCATGCTCCTGGTCAAGCGCGACGACACGGTGCAGACGAAGATCATCAAGTCGAAGTACTCCAGCGCCGCAGGCGCTCCTCTCATGCCCTCCTGGTCTCGGAGGCGTCGAAGAGGGGTGTGGGGAGCTAGGAGCGGGGGGCGACGGGATGGCATGGCCGGGGCCACGAGCCCCCCCCCGAGCTCACGTGGGCCCTGCTTCTTCCAGCACGCCCTCTGGCCCTCTGGCGCCCGCCTCCCTCGTCAGCGCACCCCCCCGGCCCCACGGAGAGCTCCACGTGCGAGCTCAGTGCGGGCGTTCCTGTAGCGTTTCCGCGCCCATGCCGGCACACCCCTCGCACAGATCACGCGCAGATCACGCCCCAGAGGGCACTGCACTCGCAGCCTCAGTGTGCGGGCTCGCATAGCGCCCCCCCCGCCCATTTCGGCGCAGCTGTTCCGCACGCGGTGCCTCACGGGGAGCTCCACCTGCGGTCCCAAATGGGGTGTCCGCACCGTGCTCCTGGCCCCCACCCGCACACACCTCGCATTGATTTCGCCGCACAGGCAGCGCGTCCCAGGATCCCAGCCCGTCCGCAGCGCGCAGTGTATGTGGGGAGAGGGCCATGACCCGCGGCTCATGCAGCCGCAGAAGGTTGGGTCTCCTCCTTCAATGAAGAACTGGTCCGAAGAGGCTTGTGTATAGAAACGCGCCCCCGCGGAGAAGCAAAACAGCGCCTCCTGCCTCCGCGGAGGTATTCTGGGGGTCCCCAGAGGTAAAAGGAGTGAAGGATGCGGAGGGGTGCCATGCCCCAGGAGGGAGGGATGCGGTGGCAAGGCCAATACACCAGTTGGAGCAGTGACTAATTGCCTGTCTCGCGTTTGAGGCTGGCATACGCGAAGCGGATGCATGGGGCGTTCCAGAAAGGAGGTTGGTGTCGCCTTCGGCAGAAGCCAGCCGAAGCAAAAATACGGCGGTGAGCCCGCCAGCGGCAGACCAGCGGAAGGAGGCGGAAGGAAAAGTGAGACGTCAACATTGTTGGGTTCAGGGGCCCCCCTGGCCCCATGAAGAGCTCCACGTACGAACCCAGTGCGGGCGTTTCTTAAGCGTTTCGGCGCTCATGTCGGCACATCCCTCACACAGATCACGCCCCATTCACAGCCTCAGCGTGCGGGTTCGCATAGTGTCCCCCCGCCCATTTCGGCGCCGCACGTAGTGCCTCACGGGGAGCTCCACCTAAGGTCCCAAACGGGGTGTCCGCATGTGTTTCCTGGCCCGCACCCGCACACACCTCGCATGGATTCAGGGTGTCCTGATCCGGCCACATGCTCAGCCTTCACCGTGGCATAAGTTTATGCAAGCGTGTGAAGCATGTGTGGCAGTTCTGGTAGTAATTTGCTGGCAGGAGAATACGTGGCGGCAAGTGCGAGATCGCGTAGCAGTCGGCAGCGTTGTAGAAAGTAACAGCTCTACAATGAATGGTACGAGCGGGGGCACAGTTCATGCGCGTATTATTGGCAAGCAGATAGGTCAGTGCATTGGTGGCCAGTCCCATTGGCTCGGGCGGCGTGTTGTCAGTGGCACGTGGACGGAGCACCGCCCGCACACGGGGGCAGATCCCGTTGGGCCGCGCTCTGTGAGAGGGCCGGCACGGTCCTCTCGCGTTCGTGAATCGGGACGATCGAAATTCGTACGGAAAGAATAGGTGCGATGCCCAACAGCAGTTTCTAATCATTTTGAACAGGACTCGCTGCCCGCGCCGCTGCGGATTGTTCTTTGAAGACAAAAAGCCGCCTTCCTAACAGCGGCCGCTGTCAGTTTTTGGCGGCACTTGTTGTTGGGCACTGTGTACGTTGTTTTCCGCACCCGTTTCGGGCGTCCAGAGTGAAAGCTTTTGTGCGCTAGAGCCTGAGCGCGCACGCGGTTCGACGAAGAAGTGAAAGAAGATGGACAGGAGAGATGGTATCGAATGGGGCGCGAATGGATCCAAATTCGGGGAGGGCCAGCTGAGACGACGGCAGCGCTCCAGCCTGGCTAAGTCCGCTAATACGGGGTCCTCGGACGGCTCCCGGGGTTCCAGTCTGACAAATTGTTTCGAGGCGGATCCAGCCGTGGCGACGAGAAGCCTCCAGGAGGCCGAACAACGCCTGGGAGAGCCGTCGTTGTGACTGGCCCTTCTCCGATTCATCTACTGTGGCCTCGTCTCGGCGGCTCGTGCGCCCAGGCTATCCTTACCTCCTGGCGGCGTCCTCTCGACAGATCTCAATTCACATCGCAAGCATTGCAACGGCTGCTGTCGAGTTGCTTGCAAGGCACTGCCTTCGTCACCTACGAGGGCACCGTGGTGCCCAAACGGAACGTCTTCGTCAAGGAGAACAAGGGGTTCCAGGAGCCTTTCGGTTTTGAAGCCGCCCTTTGTTCTAGTGCATTATCTGACTTTGCGCGCGTGGAGGTGCGTACGACGTACGTGCTCGTGCGATCATCATCCACTTGGCCGCTTGTCCTTGTGCTTGCTTCCGTTTACTCACGCTAAAGTGTAGGAGGAGGCCGAAGAGGCGGAGGAATTGGCGCCCTCTCCTTTTCCACGATTCTTCACTTCACCAGAGTTTCCGCTTTGCTTACCGAGCGAATTACAATGTGACAAGCCTTCCTTGGCAGAAGACTCCGTCATGGCCGAACGTTGGTCTTGAAAGCAGCAGCTCTTGAGGACTCCGCCCATGCGCCCGTTCCTGTCCCCATCATCACTTCCCTCCTCATCGTGTATTTCCGGTTTCGGCTCGAAAGCATTTGTGCTCAGGGCGAGCCCAGACGCCAAGCTCCCCGTATAGTTTCCCGCCTCGCGAGACTGGGAACGACCCAGGTCGTGGCAGATTGGCGCCGTATTTTATTTCAAGTTCCCGTGCTCGCCGCGATGGTTCCAGAAAGTCGTCGCCTTGTGTTTCATACACCGCCGCAGCCCAAACCTTCAGGCAAAGGCCCCTCAGAGGCAGCCTTAACGTAGGATACCAACCTCAGCCAAAATAGTAAAGCCTGCGTCGCCACACTCCAGGGCAATGGTGGCGTCAACCGAACTGTCGCTGCTTAACCGAACCTGGTCACAAACACCAAGACGAAGTTGACAACATATAAGGACAGCACCGTTGCGACCAGCGAGAGCTTAGGGGCGAGCTGACGAAATTGTGCGGGAAGAAGATCCGCTACATCATGCTGTTCCGCTTTCAGAAGCACAAGACGGGCACCAACTGTGATTCAGCAAAGTCCACGGTTTCGGCCGACGCCCACCTGGGCAAGGGCACCGCCCCTGTCATCGGCAGCGATGCACGGAACGAGGATGTCCCGACCGCGCTTCCGTTTTGCAGGGCCGATCGCGGGACTTGACATACCAGTAGCACCCACCGACACCCCACCAGGGCCGAAACACCGTCTGAGGATTTTTCGAACTCCGCGGTCATCTACCCTCCCGTCGTTTCAGAAAGGGCAGCCGCCGCCAGAGGGCCCTGGGCTAGACCGCTGCGTCCACCGCCGTGACGCACGGGCACGCCCACAAGGGTAGAGCTCAGCGCAAATGCAGGCGAGGTCATTCAGAAACCCGTGGCATGGCAGCTCGCTCGGTCTACCAGGACCGAAGCGCTGCCCGCCCCCTCAGGCACAGTCCCGTTCCCCATTCTTTTGTGAATCCAAAAAAGACATCGAAGTAACCGTCACCAGCGAGGTCGGAGAAACACGCAGAAACGGCCAACACAGCACCGTCATCGGACGCATAGGGAACCATAATTAGTGTTGGGCGTTCGCATTGACCAGAGGCAGCATTGCAACCCTGCCCGCTTCAAATCTGGCCCCAAGCTCCCAGCGCCTTATCTGGGAGGGGCAGCGCTGCTTCAACGTCAGGGCCCATGCCAGCAAAGCCAACAAGCTTGCCAGCTTGCCGATGGTGGCAGCCACTGTGGACGCACCAGACCTGCCTGCGCTCCCGAGGAGAATCGTGCCATGGCTTGCGGGCGAACTTCCGATGCCAGCAGGAACACCAGCGACTGCGGCACCGACCAAGGATCCCTGGCACCCCGCCCGCCGCGTGGCGGGGGGCCGCGTGGTCTCCTCCACCTCTGCGCGGACGGCTTCGCGATGTGCGCCAAGCCGCAGCAGCCAGGCTGGGGCGTCCTCCACCTGGACTGGCTGCGCCGCATCCGCTCGGCCGCCCCCCCGGTTGATCATTGGGTGCGTCCCGCCGTCTTCGGCGGTCGTGGCGCCGGCGCTGGAGGTCGCGGAGCGGCTGACACGGGGCCCGCAATTGCTGGGGGGCGACTCGCTGCCGCGGCTGCTGCTCGACAGCGCATCCTGGCCGACGCTCTCCCCGGCGCAGCTGCAGCGCGCGGGCACCGCCGTCGGCGCAGCCCTTCTGCCGAACGAGATTACGATGGCGACGCCGATGGACTGGCGCATTTTCGCGACGCCCCCTCCCGCGGCAACAGCGTTCGGCCGTTGGCGGAGTCGCGCCCTGGCGCGCTGCGCGACGAGGAGACGAATGACATCGCGCGCTTCATGGGCATGCGGGGGGGCGGACGGCAGCGAGGCACGCGCCGAGGTGATGGCGCATCTGGTGGCCATCGTCTTCGGCCACTGCCCGATCCACAACCTGCGGGCCCATGTGTTCAGGGTGCCGCAGACGCTGGCGACGGCGCTGGACCTGCTCGAGAGCGGAGGCCTGGCCGAGCTCTCCGACGTGCCGACGCAGCGGTTCAAGGCTGTCGAGCTGAGCCTCGAGGACGTGAGTTGCCAGGTGGCCGGCGCTAGAGGAAGCGGGGGGCGCGCGCCCGATCCCGACGCCCCCGGGCGAGCAGGACGCGGCGATGCGAGCTGATATTTGACGCGCGCGGAACGCTCGCGTAGCCTCGTCAGCTGGGGCCCAGGCCGATCGCCCAGCGAGCCGGAGCGTCGCCCGCCGAGCCGCCCACCGAGCCCGCGGCCAGCCGAGGGCGCCGCCGCTGCCGCAGCCGCCCCCGCCCGCCCCCGCGCCGGAGCGCTCTCCGACAGCTCTGGGCGGGGTGGGCGCGGGGGGCCGCCCGAGAGCGCCTCGAGGCGACGGCCCGCGCCCAGCTGCAGGGCCCTCAGGCCGAGCAAGGATCGCGCCGACGCCGGAGTGGCGGGCCGGGGCCCGAGGCTGGAGGGGGCAGCGTCGTCGGAGCGGCTGGCGGCCTTCTCCCCCGGCGACCGGGGCCGCGGCCGCGGGCCCCGCTAGAGAGGGGGGCTGAGGACGGCAATTCTTCATGATGACATGGCTGCCTGTCTGGCCTGGGGCGGCCCGGGCCGAGGCGGGCGCGGACTGCCGCGCCAACCTTGGCGGCCCCCTCGCGCCGCTGGCTTCGCCCGAGGACGTTGCCGACCCAGGGGCAGCAGGAGCGCCCCCCCCCCCGAGCGCCCCCCAGTCGACCCGCGGGGTGGGCGCGCGGGCGGCGGGGGCCCGCGGTCGGACTGGCGGCCCGGCGCGCCGCGGCGACCCGCCGAGCCCGCGGCTTCGTTCGGGGGCCGCCGACCCGGCGGCAGCAGGGCCTCGGGCGGGGTCGCTCGAGGCGGGGGCCCGCTGAGGGATTGGCGTAATCTGGCCGGTGCTGCCGGTGACGTCCTGCGCACGCCTGATCCTGGAGCGCTTCTTCGCGGGGTTTCCAGGGCCCCTCGGTCGCCGTGCTCGAGATATTCTCGAGTTGAAGTGCTGCGAGCTTTCGGCCGCCAAAGGCGGCGGGCTTCAGCGAGGCCCGTTGCCGTTGCCACGCCCTCGACTGTCCGTCGCGGAAACCGCCCTCAGCGACGAGAGCATCAGCGACAGGGTTTTGGCAAGCGCTGCTCGGCAGGCTGGAGGCGCCGATCATCGGGCTGAACTGGGACCCTGGCTACCGCGCCCTGAAGTCAGCAAGGCGGCGCCCTGGTCGAGCAAGCGCCGCTCAGACCGCCGCCATCAGGGCCCCTGCACGCTACCGCGCGATGCTGGCCGAGGTGGCGCTGCCGACGGAGCTGGAGTGGACCGAGCGAATGAAGGACAAGCGCATCGCCCATGACGGGCCCGAGGTCTCCGCGCCTCTCAGGCTCAAGCTGGGGCAAGAGCTGGATGGGCTGCCGCCGCCTGGGGTCGCTGCCCCCATCGAGGCCGCCGACCTGGCCGCTCGCATCGCGAGGGCCGCCCAACTGGACCCGTCGCTCGTCGCGCTCGCGCCCCTGCCGAGCGGCGGGTTGCCGCCGCCTCCGCTCGAGCGCGGGCCGCGAGGAAGGAGTGGCATCGCATCGTCGCCGCTCTTTACTCTCGCGGGATGGCTGGCCCCATCGAGCGGTCCGAGATCGCGACGCGGGGCGGGCGGCCCCTCCTGAACGGGGCCATCGGCGCGGCCAGGCCGCGCGACCCTCCGGCGCCGCGCTGACAGGGCGGCGCGAATCGGCCAGCCCCCCGGCCCATCACAGACCTGATCCCGTCGAGCGCCTGCCAGGCCGCGACCCAGGGAGACGCCCCCACGCCGCCCAGCATGGGCCCGCTGAGCGGCATGGTCCCACCCGAGACCGGGGGCCTGCTGCGCGGCGGCGCCGATGCCAAGGCCTTCCCCTGCGTCTTCCGAGCGCCCGCCCCGCGGCGGCCGCGCGCGGCGGTCGGAGGCCCTGCCCCCGCCGGGCTCAGCGGCGGCAAGCATGGGACCGTCCACCCAGATCTGCCTGAAGGTCGCGGGCACGGGGTTGATCAGCGCCGCTGGGTCGCGACCCGCCCGCGCCAGAGCATGCTCCGCCGCAGCAGCGCGGCGCCTCGAGGGCCGCGGCCCAGCGACGAGGTCGCCCGTCGCCGCCGCTTGCCGCTCGGGGTGGGGCGCCTCTGCACGGCCGCCTGGAGTCTTCGTCGGCGACCTGGAGATCGCCGCGGCGCCGAGCAAAAGCGAGGCGGCCGAGCTCAAGGGGACGGTGCCCTCGCTGCTGACCAAGGCCCGGGCCTGCCGCGAGCAGGTCGGCCCCCCTGGCTCGCCGGGCAAGGACATCCATCGGGTCGCGCGCGCCGCGGCGCCGGGCGAGCTCGCGGACGGCGTCGAGGGAATCCGTCGTCCGCCTGAGGGCTACCTGACGGAGATCATTGGCCGCGCGTTCTGGGTGCTAGGCAAGCGCAGCGCCAGTGGAGGCTCATGCAGATCTGGCTCGGCCGCTGGGCGCGCGCCCACTGCTTCCGCCGCCCTTCGGCGTCGAGCTTCGCCCGCGCCTGGCGCCGGTTGGCCGGGTCAGCCTCGGCGTCGCAGAGGACTTGCTGCTGTCCTCCGCGCTCTCCGCTCTGTGCGTGGCTGACCTCGGGGTGAAGGTCGACGTCGACCGCGTCGTCCCGGCCTCGGACTCCAGAGACGGCCGGGGCCGCGTTCCGCGCGGCAGGCCTCTCCGCGCGGGGCGCTCAGCTGGCCGCTCGCCGCCGCTGGCCCTGCGACCCCGCCTGCGAGGAGGAAGGGGCGGCCCTCGTCGACCTGTCCGACGGCGTCGGCAGCGGGCGGCGCGCGCAGGAGATCCCGGGGCTTGCGACGGCCATCCGCCGTTCCTTCGAGATCGACGCCGCCGCCTCCGAGCGGCCAGGCGCGCCTGCCCGAGCGCGGCGCACCCTGGGGGCGCGAGCGCCGCCGACCCGCAGGATTTAGCCAAGCGCTTGAGGGGGTGGGGCCGCGCGTCGCGCGCCCCAGTCATGGGCGGCTTCCCCTGCCAGGCCAATGCTGCGTTGAACGTCGATCGCAAGGGCCTGGCCGGCCCTCGGGCAGGCCTCGTCCAGCGCCTGAAGCGCGTCGCCGAGGGCCTGAAGAAGCAGCTCCGATTTTTTAACAGGATCCCCTACCAATCGGCTGGGCGGAGCGCCCCATGGCTTGACTGGCGCTGCCGAGCCACGAGGCGAGCTTCGGGGTCATCGTGTCGAAGCTTGCGGAGGGCGTCCAGCAGGCCTGGCGCGCGCGCCTACATGGTCGACGGCCACGTCTAGAGGAGTGGCTGCCGGCTGGCGCTTCCTGCCCGCGGCCCGAGGCAGGCGGGCCCCTGCCCGCCGCTACGCGGTGGGCCCCCAGGAAAGCCGCCGAGACCGCGGCCCGCAGGCATCCAAGAGCGCAGCGAGGCCGAGCTGGCGCGCTGGGCGGACGCGTGTCACGCGGCGCCTCCGTACCAGTGCTGCGCCAAGTGGTGCCCGCACTGGGCTGATGGCCAGGTCGCGCCGCCGCCGGCCACGGAGCGAGAGCACGCTGCCCATGGGCTTCGCCGAAGGCCACGCCGCGCCGCGCATGCCGAGCGGCGCCGTGAAGGCATAGCCCGAGAAGTACGAGGTCCTGCGGAGGTCTCTCGTCGGCAATTCCTTCCACTGCGAGGTTGTGGCTTGGTTCGAGCTCCCAGTGGCCGCGGTCCTGCCGGTGGCGGCCCCTTCGCTTGCGGTGCTGCGCGAGAGCGCCCGCGCCTGGGTTGGTGGCCGCAGCTCTAGGCGGAGGACGTCGCGTCGCTGCGGTGCGGCCGGGAGGCCTTCGACCCCCGGCGCCTCGCGGAGCTGGGCCAGCCTGGCGGCCCCGTGCACGTCGGCCGCGGATCGCTAGCCTCAGCGCCCCAGGCTCGCCCCGGGGCAACCCTTTCTGCGCGACTGGGGGCTGCCCGCGAGGGGAGGCCGCGGCGCCCCGCGCCCCCTGGCTGCGCTCGCAGACGCAGCTGCCAGGGAGGCTGGCTGGGCGAGCAGGTTTGCCGACGGCTCTTAAGTTGCGCCGCAGCGGGCCGGGTGAGGCCTGCCACGCGGGCGTCTTCCTGGCGGAGCAAGGCCAAGAGCGACGAGGCGCAGCGGCGCGACGTCGACGCCTCGCGCCGGCTGGACATGGGCTCGGCGATGGCGCGCCACCTCGACGGAGCCGACCTGAGGACGGACGGCAGCTCCGGGGCGATGGGGAAGGTCTCCCAACGGCAAGAGATTGGCGCAGGCATGCTGCAGCCGCGAAGGGCCAGGCGGGAGATCCAGGAGAGCGCGGAGCACATCGACTTCTCAGAGCGCCTAGGCGCGCCGATGATGATTCGTCGGCGAGCCCGAGCCGCGGCGCGCCACGAGTTCGTCTTCCGCCGCCTCCTCAACTCGGCTTTCAACGTCGGCGCGCCGTCAATCCGCCGGCCCCCAGCAGGCAGCGCAACAAGGCGGCGCGCAGTTTCTCTGCGTGGGAGCTGGCGATGGGGGCGCTGGCGGCGCTCAGGTTCACGAGCTCGCCCCGCGACCCCGCGGGCGCCCCGTCGCGCTCGCGAGATGGCGAAGCGCGCGGGGCCCGCCGATCGACGCGCCACCCGGGCTGGCGTGGGGCGACTGGGCGGCTCGAGGATCGGCGCCAAGACGTTCAGGCGCTATCTGACAGCCGCTCAGCAGTTCGCCGACTACGCCGTCGTCGCCCGCACCGACAGACTGGGAAGAGATGGGCCTGGCCCTTCAAGAGTGCCCCGATCACCTCTGGGCGCAAGGCGCGACGGAGGGCCGGGCCAATGGCGCCGTGAGAGACGCCCAGCACCTCCTGAAGTCCAGGAGGCAAGTGGCTTGAGCCTGGCATCTCTGAAGTGTCTGAGGGCGCCTCGAGGCCCCCTCTCGTGCTCCGCCGACGCCGGCGCCCGCGCGCGCAGCGCTCGCAGGCTGGACCCATGCTACGGGTGAGTTGGCTTTCGCGTCAGTCGTGATGGCCGCCTGGCACCTTCGCCTCCGCACTGGGGAGGCCCTCAACCTGTGCGGGGCCTTCATTTCTTTGCCCAGATAAGCGCGGTGTCGTCAGCCTTCGCTGGGCAAAGACATCGTGCCAAAATGGTACCCGAGAGAGTCTGTCGCTAGACGGCCCTTGTGTATGGGGCCTCGGCCGATTGGCAGTTGCATCGCGGATCAAATTCTCGACTGCGGACCCTGACGACTCGAGCGTTTCATCTGATGTTTTGCAGAGCCCTGCGCGAGATCGGGCGCAGTCACCTTCGCCTCCCCCCTTATAGTTTGCGGTGGGGAGGGGCCGCCCACGAATCCCAGTCTT